AACGAGAGAAAGAATTACTAGCAGAAGAGACTTCAGAAAAATACTTATTAGAGTTAACACCAAAGTTAGAAGGATGAAAGTTAACACGGAAACCATTAGGAATGACTTTAGCATTAAGACAACGACCAATGAAATGAATATGACTGACAAACTGAATATGACTGACAAACTGAACAATTGAAGGTCCACTCGATGCATTCGTCGATATCTGCAAAATGTGATTGTAATGCTACTATATCAAACATCCATGACTCGATAAATTTATTGATTTCTGGTCGAATCTTTACAATTTGATTCACATGCAACTGTATGAAAAGTCCATGACTCAATGGATTCATTGCTATCTAGTCGTATCTCTAACAAAAAACACAATGAGTTTCACTATCAGCGCTATACATGTATGTTTCTATAACTCACCAACACACGTCACAATTTCAGAACTGAGACGAAATCCTCCAATGCAGCCGCAATTATAGCCGCCTTCCTTATTGTAACATAGCTGGTTACATCTGGCCTTTCCTTCATTGCATTCATTGATATCTAATAAACGTAAACCACTAGATTACAAATACTATTATGTCGCTCTCTCCTATGCGAATATTAAAAAAAGCAGTACAATAAGCTGGGTCGTAATGAGGAAAAATATCTAACAATCAGAACAAGYTAGTAATACTCGAAATACAAGCGCTGATATCAGAGAATAGCAAATTCGTGCAGCCATGACAAAAGACAATATTATTGCTGTACCTTCGCATGACTTTTTGTCTGACTTTAGCTGATATCCCATACGACATGCACATGTAGCTACGTCATTAGACTCAAAGCAAACATCTTGGCAACCATGACTTCCATCTTTGCACGGAAACTTAGCTAAACAAACAAACAAACGCAGAAAAAGAAATATATAAATCTTATATCACATAAAGAAAATAAATCCAATTAAAAATACCAATAAAACTCAACTAACGGATGCATTTTTTTGGATCAGAAAGGTCCACTTTGAAGTCACTGTTGCAACTGCATTGATAGCTTCCAGGCGTATTTTCACACTTCTGCATGCAATCAGCTAAAGGTTGACATTCATTTATATCTGAAAATTTGGAAAGAAGAATTTACTGAAATAAGTAATGTAAGACATATTTCCAAACCTATTTAATGAGTTATCAATRAATATTTATAATCTGAGTCCAATTGTTGCATGAATTATACCCTGACAAGTGGAACCATCATTTTGAAGTGAGTAYCCRTTATCACAACCACAAATAAACGACCCAGGGGTGTTGTAGCAATTTTGTGAACAGCGCTTTAAGCCACCTTGACATTCATCAATATCTGAGGAAATAAATAAGATAGAATATTCACTTTTATTAATAATCCTATGCAAACAGAGTCTCATTTCTTCAGATTCACGAAGCGAGGGACCACTTCCGAGATTAACCTTTAAAATTAGAAACTTGGCGTCGACACTGGAACTGTTGATGTATTTCGTAAAGGAAAAACTTAGCGCAGTTAGCCTACGTAATAAACCAGAAAAAAGGTTCAGGATACATCTTTTGAAAAATGTCCATTTCAACGTGTTTGAAGTTTTAGAGTTTGTCACGACGTCATAACGGGATCAAAGCGCAAAAGAATATGTTGCATTAAAGGTCAATGTCTAGAGTCCGTTCAAAACCGAATTATTTTATTGTAAGAATAGTCTCCTTCGCGGATACCTGCGCCATCTTGAAAGGTAGCCGTGCCTTTACATCGAAGCGAGACGACCGTTGAGCGTGCAATGATAGATACCTGTGAATCATTGTCTGTAGGTGTAAAAAAGGTTCTATCATTGCACGCTCAACGGTCGTCTCGCTTCGATGCAAAGGCATGGCTACCTTTCAAGATGGCGCAGATAACCGTGAAGGAGACTATTGCATTATTGCGCGCACTAACTACACACTACACTATGACAACTATATCCATTGAGGCGCAAATAATACCTTGGCATGAGTCACCCTTCCCTGTCAATCCAGATGGACAGGGTCCACACTCGTACCCACTCTCATTTGCTGGAGCAGGAAGATCTTTGCAAACAACACCAGGATAACATGGATTTAGATTGACTTTACAAGCATCGGTATCATTTTCACAATACTGCCCTGTGTATCCACTTCTACACTCGCACGACAGGATTGTAAAGCGATTGTCACTTTSGCTTTGGATTYCATCTAGYTGTTSGACGCATTTTGCTCCATTTTGGCAGGCGCATAAATGGAATACTGGTCTTAGAAGAGCAACAGCACCTTTAGCATCAGTAGCAATAAACGAAATATTAACCTGTAATGAAGAAAAACATAAAGTTTTCTATTTCTGTGGTTAAACAGTTAAGAAAGTGAACACTTTTGATAGTTTTGATTATCAAATTCACGACTTATCTACAAACTCTTTTTAGAGAAAATTTAACTTAAAAAAAAGTAAAAATCTTGGATAAAATAATCAGACTTTAAAATGTCCTACTAAAATGGCAAAAGTTTTTCCCCTCTTATATCCGGCAATTAATGATTAATAACTGATAGAATATAGTTTATTAAATGGTCTATTGTGCTTTTCAGCTATGGAGCTGTGATGAGGACAGATGAGTTTCTTTAGAGAGGATTACTAGAAAATCTATTATGACATGTAGATTTGAGTTCTTATGTTGAACACCCATTCTTCAAAGCAAATTGGACAATTCATGGCTTAAGTACTCCTTAATCAAAAAGCTAAGCTCAATTTGCTTAGAATCTGAAAAAAAAATAAGGGAGCAATATCACCTACCTTTTCCATCGAAACATCCCATGAAACAGAAACTGTGGAACTGTTTGTTTTGACAATAGCTCCATTTGGTAATCCAGTTACGTTGAATSTAACASAATCCCCATCGGTGTCCTCAACAGGGATTTCAAGATGTTTGGTAACATTGATAGTCAGTAATATTGCTGATGTATAATTTGGAAATTTCGGGGGAGAATTGCCTTGAAGCAAAAAAGAGGACAAGTAAGTCTACTAGCTAGAACCTTTTTCGTAAACTTTAATTATAAAAAAATAAATGAAAACTTTGTAAAAACAGTTGTACTTGCAAGTCAGGTATCATGTGTGTGCTTGAGGAATGCAAATCAAACTCCAAGAAAGCTGTTGCTTATTGCAACTTATTTGGCAAATTGGAAAAAAAAACGTCCTTCAATAATAGGTTTATTGTAATATAAAGAATACTAATGCTACTGGGAAACAACAGGCAAACCTACTAAGTATCGCAGAATCGTTAACCAACTGAGAGCCAATTACTTTGGTGTCCAGTCCAACAGAAACGTCATTTGTGGAGGCTRCGTCGAATAAGCAGTTGACATCACCATTGCATTCAGCCAATGCCTGCTTCTCAAGAGTTTTGTTTGCGAACTTTATTTCGTCGACAAACATTGGCATAAATGAGGTGTTCGAGAAGGTAAAAACTGACTCGTTGGCGTTGTAAGTAAACAAGGAATTTGTCTCGTTAACTTGCCCTAATTGAAAAAAGAGATTTTACAAAATGATCAATCGAAACTCTTTACATTGCACGCACCAATTGATATAATAAACAAAAAACTAATGTGCACTTACATCTTTGTCCAAAATCAAAGTGAATCTCTCTGCCAGTTGCATTGGAAGGAAGAACATGTCCTTCTGGTGTAGTTAAGTCATCACTCTTGTTGCCATTCCATATTCCCAAAAGACCTTTCGTCTGATTTCTAAACGATTTTGGGAGAGCAACTACGATAGACAGTGCCCCTTTAGATTCTGTAAGTGTAACCGCTATTCCAGATGG